ATGGAAGTCCAGTAGGCGTCATCTCCTTCGACAGCGATTTCCTCGGGCCGCCGAAGATCCCAGGAGGGCAAATCCATGTCCGGCAAAATCTCTTCTGGGACTCTGCTCTCTGGCGAAATCGAACTTTTCCTAGACCTTGGCAGAGGTATTTCGTCGTCTGGCGGGGCGGACGTGGTCCTCCTGGAGCTACCGTTGAGCTTCTCCTCGCTACGGCCTCTGCGTGGTTTGCTGCTCGCACGCGCCCTCGGCAAGACAATGCCTGCAGCTTGGAGCTCCTGACTCTCAATCTTAGCCAGCTTGTCCCGGTGAATCCACTTGTCGTCGTCAGAGACGGGTATGTCGTTTGTTGACCGCTTCTCGTCAGACCCAGGTTTCCCCCCAAACACATCGTCCGCAAAGTTGCCCGATTTCGACGTGTCATGGTCACGCCGGTTTGTCCTGTCCCATGATCTTGTGCTTTTTGTCAGAGATATGTTGTCATTGGAGGCCTTCTTTCGTGGGGGAGGCAGAGGCTCGAAGCCGTATTCGTAAATGTTCGCCGAGCTGCCGTTTTGCGATAGGGGTGGCCGGCTGTTTTGTTCGGTTCTATCCAAAGACCTTTTGTTTTGAAGGTTCTGCGAGACCTTGTCAGCATATTTACTCGCAAGCAGCCTGGCCAAGGCCAATTGCATAGATGATTGCGAAAAAATGCCATGTCGCCGGGACCGTAGCTATCTTACCTCTGTATCTGCCGTTGCGTAATTATTCCATGCACCTCCGTTTCCATGGCTGCTGCTCGGGGGCGTGATTGTGTTGGCCGTCGCTGACGCGGCGGACATGGCGGCCATCGCGTGGTCTGGAGAGCTGGAGCGCCAGCAACCTCCAGACTCTGGGTGTATGTGGGCTGGGAAGAGTTCGTCGTCGGGTCCAGCAGCAAGGCAGGTCTCGTGATGTGCGTGATGTGTATCGGGCCTTGAACGACGAGATGGGATGGCGATGCTGCAACAATGGCAGTGAAGAAGTGAAGCTGGAGCTGGCGGTGCTGTTGGACGGGAGCGGGAGATTGGGATTGGGTCGCCGGCTTTGCGTCTAGCGTGGTGGTAGCTCTTCCGGCAAAGCGGATTATTAGGAGGCGCTCACGAAGCGCGACGGTAAGAAAAGGTCTGGGCAAGACGATCAGGGTCAGGGTCGCCTGGTGTGTGTGTGTCGAAACAAAGGAAAGCGAGTAGAGATAGCGTCAAGGCGGGATGTAGCGACCGGAGGACGGGGTCGGGAGAAGGAACAACGAAGGTGGTACGTGGTAAAAGGGCTGTCGAATCGAAATGGGGGAAATAGTATAGAGGAGAGGGCCTTTCAGCGGGAAGCCATTCGCAGCGGCGAGTGCGGTGGTGGGAGGAGGCGGTAGTGGTTTGACAGGAGCTGTTTGGTATGTATGGCGTCCAGTCTCCTCTCTCTGTCTCTGCTGGTGGCCGCTCTCAGCGTGGATTCCACAGTGCCAGAGTGCAGAGCAACGCAACAGGAGGGAAAAGAGACACAAAAAGCGAGACAATGGACAAAGACGGGGGGGAGTGAATGAAGTGGATGAGAGAGAGGAGAGGAGTGGAGGAAGGCCGCACAGTCGCACACAGAAAGCACAGTGCGCAAGGCAGTGCCAGAGTTTTGACGTTCTCCCCAATTACGGCAGTACGTATTTTTCCTGGCTGATGACACTAGTCCAGTAAGAGACTAGCGCTTCTGGGTCTGTGGAGGTTGGTTGGTCAGACCCCAGCGCAATCCAGGAGCAGAAAGACCCACAAGTGCAAGGCGTGGGATTCCCTCTTTCGGGGAGCCGCGGTCGCTGATAGGAAGAAAAAAAAAACAAGAAGTGGTTGAAGGCAGCGAATAAGAAAGGGGGGAAGAGTTCTGGCCCAATGCAGGCCGTGAGATATTGGAGGGGTTTTTTCTGTTAAGAATGAGTAGAGGGAGAGAGGGGGAAAAACTGGTATCATATTACGGATAAGATTAACAAGATATGCTACCGGGAGTAGAGTTGCATCTGGCAATCTTCGTCCCAACTGTGCATTTACCTTTGGGTTCCCCCAAATGTTTCTGCAGAAAATGACGGATATGCTCGGACTGAAAGGCTGGTTCGGAAAGTATCAGGTAGTCAGCAAGAAAGATGTCACTCTCGTCATTCGATAAACGGTTTGTGAATGAGGGGAAGGAAGAGGGGGCGAGCAGCTGCCTACATATCCATGTATACAAAGTACCTTGGCTCACATACGAATACATAAGGTACCTAAAGTAGCTAGCTAGCTACCTTACGGATACCTATTGCGATTGCTGCTTTGCCGCGCCTCATTGGAGAACAATGACAAAGACCAACAACGACCGCTGGATGCGCTTGTCACCGGTGTGTTTCTTCCTCCCGACAGACAGACGCGCGAATGCAAGACGTCTGCGCCTCTATGCCTCCAGAGGACCAATGACGGATGCCAGACGTCTATCCAGACATGTAGAGAGGTCCCGTGCAACCGTGCAACGGCCCACATGTTGTTCGTGTGACACTGACGCTGCACCGCAGACCAGACAAAGAAAGGTGTCAATGGCATGGCGTTGATTCAGAGGGAGGAGTCTGGGTGTCTGGGAGAAACATGACGGGAGGTCAAACCGTCAAAAGGTGCTGCAACACCGACAGGTGAGTGGCAGACAGGCTGCAGGCGCATGCTCCCAGACTCCATACAGGTGGATGGAAGGGATGCAGTGCTGTCAGTGCATCAATTGCGCTCGGACAGCTTTACTCTTAGACTAGACTCTTGCTGTTCTCCCTTGGTTCAACATACTGAGGTTATTCCCGTCGTCAAAATCGATATTGACGGCCGATTCCCACAACGGAGCCGCAAGCAATGTACTCCGTATGCATGGAAAGAAAAGGAGGGTGACCCCTCATCTTTCAACACAGTGAGCTCCTCGTAATTGCGGTGGAGTTGGGACCGTTGAAGAACGATGGGGTCGAACGGCCGGGAACGGGGGTGTGTTGCACAGCAATGCTTGGAATGGAACGTGGGTTTGGTCCCGTTGGAATGCCAGCCAGCCGCGGGCACTTGCATCGTTTGGAATGGCGGATATGCTTAGCATAAGTGATAAGCCAGACATCGTCATCTGTCAATCCAGGCTCATCCCATCCAGATCAGCTCAGCTAACCAGGACCCAAATTCAACGTCACCCATACGCAGTACCCGTCGGGCCGTCAGCGAGATCGGACCTTTGTTGAGTTTGTTTATTTATATCCACGTCGTCGTCATTCTGGAGGAAGAGTTTGTTCAACGTTGATGATGCCAGCCCAGCAGGTGGAATTGTGTTTGGGGATATATGCGTGAACAAAACCAAAACCTCAGGCGAGAACAAGTTGTGCCCCGATTCCCTGCTTATGTAAGTCGACCTACGAAGAAAGCGCACTGTGCCGGCACCATTCTAGACCCTCGAGGCCAAAGACCACCCCGGCACTGGTCATTTGCGCCTCCTGGCGGCCCTGGCCCAGGCAATCAATCCCAGAAACCGCCAACCAGGAATCTCAACGGTCTGTGTGCTGTGCCTCTTGCTTCTCAATTTCTCAATTTCAAGTTCTCGCTCATTTTCTCCTTGGGGAATCTGGAGTGAGAACGTAATCTCTCAGTCATCTGCCTCTTCAGTCCTTCCCCCGCCGCTGGAATTGGTAGGTACCAATATCATCACGAGAGAGAGAGAGAGAGAGAGAGAGAAGGTGGCTGATTGATGCCTTCTCTTCTTTTTCGTATCTGTGCCTGAGACTGTGACTGCGCATGTGCCCGTCTCCAAACCCCCATTTTGGAAACTCTGCTTTCTTTTTTCCGCCCTCGCATGCAGACCGTTTTGTCTCTCCATCTGACCATTCGCATGATACCGACCGCTGACCTTTTCTTCTTCTACGACAGCAAGCCTACCTCTCTGAATTCACAATCAACCTCACCTCACAAATTCCCAAAAAAAAAAAAAAAAGTCACCAACTGGGTGCAACTAGGGATGCGAGTCAAACGAGATCCCTTCACCGCCGGTATGGCCAATGGCGGCGCTTCGTTTCTCCTGGGATCTCGCATGACGGAGATGGGAAGTACTCAAGTATCTCACCGGCCCCACACACGATGATTTCCCATCTCTCCAGCCAATTACACACACTCTACGACTACGTACCTTGGCCTTTGAACATTTGAAGGCATCAATCAATCTCACCTCACTTTTGGTCCGTCATCCATGAAATGACACAGAGCGGCCACACCGAACGGACGTTCATCCATTCCACACATTAAAACCCTCCACTATTTTTTTCCTTCTAGAAGAACGACCAGGCTCATGATCTCATCTATCGTCGCTTTCTCTTCTGCACCTTGGCTTTGAAACTACAGGGGATCCCGAATTTCCAGATCGTCCTTCCCTGATAATTTCCGAACGAAGTGGCTCGCTGAGGAAAAATTCTCTAGGAAGCACATCATTTACAAGGCAACGGCTTTCAAGCTCTAGAAATCCCATGGTACTGGAAGGAATCCCGGGCTACGAACACAGATTGGAGGAAGGCGGAACGCACGGCCTGCGCGATCCGGTACCGGGCTGCCTTTTCGTGCTCTTGAATTATCCCGGCCTGTTTCAAGTGAAGCACTACGCACAAACATCCTCATTCCGATTCATGGAGACAGACCGTCTTTCTTGGCCTCCTATCCTCTCACGTGTGTTTATACTCGCTTCACACTGTCCTTGAATATCCGTACATCACAAACATACGGATACCTTGGCCTTCATCATCTGCACAGATTGACTCCTTATCCCTCTTCAGAGCCCTATTGCCGTCCTTCCCCCCTAATTTGCCCTGGTACCACCGCACCCTCGTCTATCGAATATCAAATTATACCAACGACACGCAGTCCGAACTCTCCATCGGCCCCATCATCTGCCGGCCGCTACCCACCTCTCACAGCCCGCCCAAGCACGGCCCCCGGTCCATGACTGGCCCCTCCAACAAAGCCGGGATCATGGACCACGCCGGCACCTCTGGCTACCCGCAGCCGCAGCCGCGAGCGCAACGCCAGCCGGTCCTGCGGAGGACCCGGTTCGTCTGCATCTCCGACACCCATAACACTACCGTCAAGTTGCCAAAGGGCGACGTGCTGATCCACGCGGGGGACTTGACCAACCAGGGCAGCTATTCCGAGGTACGTGCCCCATTCGTGCCCTTTTTTTTTTTATATATATAATTCTATGGGGAGAGAAAGAGAGAAGAAGCAAGTCCCCAGTTGTCGACTCAGGTACTTACCCGTTCGGGAGTCATGTGGGAGGCGCTCGGGGAGAGATGAGCTACTCTTCAGTAGTGTCTGGGTTCATCGTGGCAACAGGATAAACAAAATATGGACTCGCCGAATGGCGTCTGCTTACGTCTTGGTGTACCTTGTGTGCCTGGATGGAGCATGTAACTGACGCCATCGCCAGTTATCGAGGGCAGTCCAATGGCTCGAGAAAGCAGACTTTGAGACCAAAATCGTCGTTGCAGGTACGCGCAATGTTGGTCCCCCCCTCAAACTTCTTCACCTTGACAGATATACACGCTTCACCCCTTCACGTCAGAATACTGACCAAACGGCCGCCCAGGGAACCATGACATCACCCTAGACTCAGACTTCTACGCCCAACACGGATCCAACTTCCACTACCAAACACCACAATCCCCTCAAGACTGCAAAGCCCTTCTCACAAGCTCGCCCTCAATAACCTACCTCACCCACGAGACAGCAACAATCCGCCTCTCTTCCCCCTCAGGACCACACACCTCCTTCACAGTCTTTGCATCACCCTACTCGCCGCGCAACGGCCTCTGGGCATTCGGCTACGATGCCCCTCAGCACGGCAGCCTCGGCGCCGCGGCGAGCAATCTACCCACGCTCTGGGACGATATCCCGCTCGAAGCGGACGTCGTCGTGACGCATACCCCGCCGCACACCCACTGCGACGAATCACGCGCCCAGCGCGCAGCGGGATGCGAGGCCCTGAGACGGGCCTTGTGGCGAGTCCGTCCGCGGCTTGCGGTCTGCGGACACGTTCACGAAGGACGCGGCGTCGAGAGGGTGCGTTGGGACCTCGGATGCGGCGGCTCGGCGTTTAGAGAGGAAGGTGTTGAGAGCTGGAGTGATCCCGGGCAGGGGAACAAGCAGTCCCTCGTGAATTTGTCAATGAAGGGGGGGAACGCTCTCCGTAACGACGGCTCGCATCCGGAGAGGAGTCCATCCGACAAGGATGTGGGGAGGATAGCATTCGGTCCATCTCCGTCTCCGGCCATCCCCGGAACGACGTCAGAAACCGCCGCAGAGCTGGGCCTCGGCACCCGCGGCCTCGCTGGCGATCCAACATCACCCCGTACCGAAGTCGCCGCACTCGCCGGACGCCTCGGCCGGCGGGAGACGTGCGTCGTTAATTGTGCCATCATGGCGAAGAGTTATCCCCACGTCGGAGGCAAGACGGTCAACAAGCCTATCGTCGTGGACCTGGATTTGCCGGTGTGGGAGTGGGGTCGTGATGGTATGCCGCGGGTTGTGTATGCGGATTGAGGGCCTCAATGAAAAAAGGAGGCAGACAAATACCCTAGTTTGGCAAGCAATGAGGCTGTGATGCCAGCGTTGTATTGGCGATGAGGCAGACGGCGGGGCAGCTTTGATTGTTGACGAGGCGCCCGCATGGTGTTTGCATATCGGTGAAGGTATGCACTCTTGTTCGACATAGACCCATGTAGCCTGCGTGAACCGCTGCCAAAAGAGGATGCAAGCATTGCAGCAGGCATCTGGAACAGATTAGCCCTTTGAATATCTGCCTCCCTGCTCTCGGTAGCCTCGAGCCCTTGGTTACACTCCATTATGCGACTATTCGGTGACCTTGACGCCCATCATTCGTGGCATAACGGATGGCCTTTTCGACATTGCTGAGTTTACGCGCCCTCTTTCTATCGCCCGGCTATGGTTCAAGAACGCCATTTCAGAGTTTGTCGTTACTTCTCTTTCCTTCTTTTCGACATCTGTGCCGTGGGTTCGCGTGTAGGCTGCCTTCTTCTCAAGACTGCCTCATACCGGGCAGGGAACTTTCAAACCTCGTCAGGCGTTCGAGGATGAAGATGAGCCGCATGTAGTACTCCTCATCTTCGCCAACGCGATAGGGATAGGATTCTAAGAGAATGTCAACGCTGAGCTTTCTTCGTGTTCGTCGCATTCAGAAGATGTAACCGGAAACCGTTACCCACCATCGCCGGTTGTGACCGTCCGTGGCGGGATATGGAAAGCCAAGAATGAGGCACTCGAAGCAGAAGCTAGTGAAGAAATGACGATCACTACTGAGATCCAGAATACTTTGCACATGTCGACATCAATATGATATTGAGCGATTCAGTCCCGCCAGACTGCCTCTTGGTCTCGGAGGCCTTTACCTGTGCTCGGAGAGGTCTTGCCTCGTCAATCGTCTTTGCCGTAACACTATAAATATCCTGCCACAGACCCCTCGGATAGGAAGCCTCGCCAGCTTGAGCATGAATTTGCCCTCTGCCCCGCAGTTGTGCATCCAGGCAGATCATGTTGCGAGATGTGTTCCACAGATGTGCAACGTTGGTGTCTGGCAACGCTTGATACCTATCCATATCTATATTATCACGTACCACAACTGCTGATTTCCAAAGGATGTCTCTCAAGCCTAGGTATCACCATACTAGTATACGAGCCCGAATACACACTGAGATCCAAGAGACTCCCTGTGCTATATCTATCCTTTTAGGACCTAGGTAGTTAGAAGCTCCGTTGTTATAATATACTTATATCGTCCCCATAGCACAAACCCTCTTATTTATTGTATAGAAAACCAAGGACTGGTATTAGCTGGGCGACTATTAGGAGGAGTATGTTACCCTTATTTACCTAGCCTCTTAGTCTAGACCGAATAGTAGCTTTATAAAGGTATTAGAAAGGGCTCTAGGAGAGTTAAACCACGCCGTGTTATTAGAGCGAATGTCCTATTCGGACAGGAGCAGATTATATTTCGCGACGTATTGATAATGCTAGTGCTTAAGATCGAGGCGCTCTCGTAATAATATATAATAAAACCCTTAAGCAAAGAGGTTCCCTAACTCCAAGTACTCTCACATTGGTATACGAGTCAGAATATCCATCTAGACCCGAGAGACTCTCTGAAGCCATTACTTTATAACTAGCCAACCTCCTTACATTACCCCCTCGTGATACTATACATAGTAAGGGAGCTTCCAAGAGGCTCACCAGCATCACATGGACAGAGCAAATGCGCCACGAGAAGGTTGACCCCCCTCCGAATTTGGACAAAGGGTGGGTTTATAAAGTCACGCTGGGGAGGCAAGAAGTACGTGAATAAGCAACGCGTTGGGCCAGGAAACAAGAACTCGCAGTTGGGTAGATTCTTCTACTCAGTCACGCTGCACCTTGAGAGTCAATACCTCTTCGATAGCTATCGCTGCCTCGTCCGGCAAGTCTTGAGTCTGCCTTCATGATTCCTCCGTCAGCCACTTCATCTATCGTACCCATACCAAGGCGAACCAGAGCCATAAGATTTGAGGAAAGGAAACGCACAACCAGTTAGGGTGACCTATCAAAAGGGCAGATTGACTTCCAAGGCTACATCCCGCTATCTGGATCCATTCTACAAGCCAGCCTCAGAGCCTCATTCTCCTTCTCATCCTCATCCTCCTCGCTCAAGACCATGACCCAATCATACGAAAGCAGCCTCACAAAAGAGGCTCACAAAATAGAAGGGGTGTCTCATCTGCCTCATCTGCCTCATCTGCCTCACCTAACCTACCATATCTACACTTCCACCTCTGACCCCCTACACCTTGCACACCTTCACACAATTGCACATTTGCTTCACGCGCCGATACGCGCTGATAATCAGGCACCGATGAAAAACACCAGGCCCAAACACGCCCTCTCCGCTGACCACCCTCCCCAACGAGGCGGGGGCTAGAAAAGTGCAACTTGGGCTGGACTCGAATCCTGACCTACACACACCATCACGATTCTTGCACATTGCTGCATCATGTACGGGGTAAAGTACTCATAAGGCAAAGACAGTCTCAAGACTATGAAAAAAACCTGGGTAGCTTTTCCCACCTTGCTCAAGATTCCCATGAACTGTTGCATAAACCCTAGTGGTGACATACTACACCGTCTCCCTCCGTCTTTCGTATCGCGAGAAACCACACCAAGTTGTATCAGCTCAACTACAGCATCAGCACCAATATCATCGGCCAGCCCGACAACGATACTCCACGGTTCTCACCTGCAAAACAATAATAGGGTAGACAGCCCCTCGTCGCTGATGTAAGAAAACCACATCCATCTATCCATCTGCCCGTCTCTACCCTTTCCCCCACGGCACAACCCTCAAAAACCTACCTGCAGAATACCCCTTCCAAAGCTGATGTAAGACGGTCCTAGCCTCGCCACCGAGAAGACCAGGCAAGCAAGACAAGCCGGGCTCGGCCCCAAACACACAAGTCCTGACCCTTCCTCACCTCTCACTCTCAGCATTCTCAGCCCTGACACGCTCAACGACAGTCCCAGGTTTTACGTTTCCTAAAATGAAATCCCAAAACCAGAGAACCAGTCTTAAACATGCAAAATGTTTCCCTCAGCTTCCTTCCCTAATCCAACGCGCCTCGCCCACCACACGCAACCATCATCCAATCCCGACGCAATCCTCTTTCCGCCGACCAATCGATACACTCCAGAGTCCAATCCCCCAATTTGACTCTCCCATTGGCCCAGATATTCAATAATCATGTCTGGATGCCTAACATCAAAGACAAACAGTGGAGACCAAATAGGCTTTGGGACAGTTCAGGGCAACAACAAGACGGCAGAAGAGGAAGGGGAAAGCGGCCTGGCCTGACCTTCTGGCCTGGCCGCCCGCGCCCCAGGCCTGCATCTCGATTCTGTACTCTGCGGTGCGGGAGAAACCACCCTTCGCGGCTTCGCCTTGTGCTTTCGTACCTTCGTGCCTTCTCCCCTCCTTCCCGTCCGCCCTCCCATTCCGCCCTGCGGGCTACATCGTGTGCTTACACGTCACAACGGGGGTTCTTGTTTATCAGATCAGGCTCGGCGGCAGAGAGGTCGCGAACGCGGCCCTCCTCAAGATGGCCGCTGTGTTACCACACAGGCCTGCACCATTACCAATTCCTACCAGCGACCACGAGATGGTTGACAATGCCATAGACGGCCCTTGAGTACCATAGACCACCGTCACAACGTGAAGCCAAATGGTGGGAGCAGATGGAAGCAAGGCCTTTGATGGGCCGCCCCGTCTGGCCATCTATCCGGCTCCGGATGCCCGATACCGCATGTCCATCCCGTGCCGCCGACCAATGGCCCCAAGTTCATCAGTACAACATGCCGGATTCTCCAGTCACGCATACCGTTTATCTCTCTCTAATGCAGGACTCCCCTTTGGAAAGGAAAACCTTTGAGTCGTGGGGATAGGATAAAGCCCAGGGCCCAGTAACAACCCCCAGGCGAAGATCAGCGTACACTTGTACGGATGCTACGTAAAAAAGGACCACCCCTCGGATATGCTTTCTCTGTACTGTCAGCCATACAGCTCGCGGTGAGCAGCCGGTTGGCTGGAAGCCTTGCCAACCGCCGCGCTCGGAAGGGAAAGGGAGGGGTCATGTTCTTCTATTCAGTCTATGGTCAATTCTGCTTCGCGAAGCAACATGTCCATCATCCATCCCGAGAACCATTGGAGAGGAGACGCATATGTAGAAGCAGGCTATAAGGCAACAAGAAGGAAATAAGGTAGACGTTCCGGTCTCTCAGACCGGGGAGACGGGCTCGCGTGGAGGGATGGACATGCAGAACCAGAGAGGGAGTGAGGACGTGCAGCTCGGCGCTTGTCGAACGCCCAATAAACGCAGCGGTGGAGACCTTTCCCAGACAAGAGGCGCTCACGCACTCTGAAAGGGAGGGGGGAGACGAGGAAACCGAAAGAGAAGGGGGGTTACGGGCGGGAGAATGTAAGCCCAGTATCAGATGCGGCGGCTGTGCGCAGGTGGGATGATGTGATGTGATGGGATCGAAATCGCGGGGTTCGATTCGCTTGGTGGGGGTTGCCCGCGCATGAGACCCTCAAACCCCCCCCTCGACTCTGTTACGTTTCTTCGTGAGGGTCACCTGGAGGCATCATGGTGTTGCCATCGAGATTTTGAATTGATGAGGTCTGGACGCGTCTGTGAAACTCTTTCATCAAAGACAGGCTTTCGGACCTCAAAGCTGCCCAAAGATTTCCTCAATTGAACAGCTCATCGCAAGGATGGAAGCTGTAGTAAGGAATCGGAGAGCTGTTCAGGCCAAGGTTGTCGAGAAAGCACCTCACCGCCACAAAAGGCAGCGATGTCCCAGCAAAAATAGACCTCGAGCACAGCCCAGGCTCTGTGAGAACCGCAGACTAGCAAGCTAGCGATAGACCGGCTTCAGTCCATGCAGGAGCTTTGCCCTATTCCCGACGAAAATGCCTCTTTCCTCAACACCGTTTCCTTGGAAAG